AGGTTAGCCATGGTTGTGTAAATCCTGATGAACTCCTACATTGCAATTGCAAGTACAAAAAGAGACTGCTACATGTTTCTTCAGTTTAGAGCTTTGGAAGACAGAGAGCAAGAAATACATGGCTACCTCTGGCAATGTAAGGGAGGTAAGCAGCTTATGAGCTACAGCCTGGCTGCAGGGGGACTTGCTGCCTCAAGGCACTCCTGTAGACCCTCAGAACTAGAGAAATAAGCCTCAGGCTGTACTGCTTTTCACTGCAGAAGTTTCAAATTACATTTCACATTGAGACAAGAACTTCATACTTGGTGTCACTGCACCAAAAGTTGAAACATTATACTATTATGAAACTAAAGATAAAAGTTTTCTAGAAATTTGGTTTTACTATTCATTTTGTATTTCTACTCACAATATCTGAACAATATCTTTACCACTGTGAGATGCCCTTAAGAGACAAGCCTTAATACAAACATGCCACATTACAAATGTTGTCCAAGTAAGAATTCTTACTGTTAAGTGTAGTAGTGTTTCAGTATATGATTTTATTATACAGCTAAGACCATCTAATGATGAGCTGGCATTGACAGGCACATCTGATCCTAGCAATGACATCTATTCAACTTCCTAGTAATCTGGTTCAGGGAGATAAGCAGGTAGAAAATTACTTCCACATCCAAATCCTTAACAGACTTAGAATCGAAGTGGCTAAGTGCCAGTACAGACGCAAAGGAAACATAATGAACACATGACTGATGATGGGAAGGAGGAAGTTAAAGAGCTCCTTTTTACTGGTCACTATTCAAGCAAACAAGAGCACTAGCTGAATTACATGAAACCTTCATGGAAGTCCACCTGCCACCACAGCTAACATCTACTGGGGGGTAAGAAAATAATCAAGCAAAAAAATATCCTCAGCCTGAAATTAAAAAGAAAAGTCTTCAAGTTAATAGTAGAAAAAAGCCCAATGAAGAGCCTACTGCTGTTTAGAGAGAACAAGCACGTGGAAAGACAGAACTACATCAGACAATAATTAAGCTGGTTACACTGCTCTGGGAACACAACCTGGAAACACTCAGGAAATCCTCCAGAAAGCCTTGAAAGCTCTATCTTGAAATATTTAATATACAAAGTTAAAAAGTAGTCCGTAGGGCTGGAACAGAAATACAAGATGTTTCTGTCAGAAACGTTCATGTATGATACGCAGAGGACAAAATATTACAATAATCTATTCCATGGCCTTTTTCCCTTGCTAAATAGCAATCTGCTTCTGCATTTGTTCTGGCTTTTTTGTTTGCTCGTTTGTTTTTTAGGACTTCTCTTATTCTCTTGAAGCCATTATTTTCTATTTCCTGTTCTCTGATGTCTTACACATGCTTGTTCTGATCAAGGCAGCAATGTATTTTAAAACCCTATCCTTACTGAAGCTGCCCATCCACAGCTTATTAGCATATCTAAATTAGAACAGTTAAACTACTACTCCCATTCTGCTCCCATTCCCCATGGAATGTCTGCTCCCATTCCCTTCTCAACTCCACCAGAGGTCTGCCTCAACACCTTCCCACAGAGAGGCACTTGTGTGTAATCATTAAATCAATCTGTTCACGATTAGACCAAAAAATACAGTACAAACTTCTCGACACTGCTACTGTGCAACAGCACAGTGCTAGCCTAAATAAGCACCAGCGCTAGCCTAAGAAGAGGGGTAGAAAAATGCAGATGGAGAGTCAGAGTGCATAGCTCTGACCACTGCTAGTGACTCACCTTTATGTATCACATTCTAAAGCATAAGAAGTCTCAGCTACAGTTTTAAGCTCTATTTTTCTTAGAGCCTAAGCCTATCTAAAAGCTGGCTGCCAAGCTCTACACTTCCTGCACCCAACTGGTATATTCTTGTCCTCTCTCTTACACCAGTGCTGGCAGCCTACCAAGCTATTGCAGCATACTAAGCTAGTAAAAAACTAAGCATGTTTTATGGTTCAGCTAGTTTCCTGCCAGCTTAACTATTGAAAGAAGTGGGTAAAACTGCAGCACTGAGCAGTCTGCCAAGCTTAGTCCGCCTTGAAATCACCACCTTACTTAAACCAATTCAAAAGGCTATGTTGACACTCCCTGTTTTCAGATTAAACAACGCATGTTTCAGTTTAGCTTAAGCTGAACTAGAATTCATTTATAACAAGTAAAGCTGAACTGTTTATTCTAAAGTATGTTTATGATGAAGTCTGCATTGAGCTATCTTTTTAATTAATTTAATTTAAGCAATTTAATTCAGTTTGGCACAACTGTCCCTACACATAGCCTCACATTAGCTATACAAACACACTGTAGCAGAGCAAGTTAAACTACAAACTTGCAGCATAACAGCTTCTTCAGGACAGCAGTGAAGTTGTACAACACCCGGGATTCAACTCCTGCTTCTCAGAGCATAATAATAAATAAATAAAGCAGGGCTCCGTGCTTCCCTTAAGGGCTTATCAATCCAAGATCAATTTCCTCATATACATCCTCTCAAAAACACACAAAGCAAAATTCTGAACAAGATTACAGAAACACTGTGACCCTATCACACCACCATTAAACCTTGCTGCATTTTTTCTACCCTACACAAAGTATAAAAGCAGTTCTTAAATTCTGCTTTCCGACTTTTCCTTTGCAGAAACGCTCCACTAAACTAAGAGGATCTTGTTTCAATCCATACAACAGAAGCCAAGGAAGATTCACTTCAGCAGGCTTGTAACATAGCCAGCTCTTGCACTAAGCAGATGACACTTAAGATCCACTCCCTCTTATTTTCTATGCAAACTTACAAATTCAAATATTATATAGTTCTACCACCAGTTCATCAATTAAGCTGGAAATACAATACAGCAAGATGGCTTACAGACAAATCTTAAGATTTCTTCACATCCCACATCATTTCTTCCCTGATAAAACAGCTGAAAGGGACCAGAGGTGGGCAATGGCTATTTTTCCCTTTAAAATAGCATTGACATGGCTTTTGCCCAACCTACAGTCCACATTTAACAAACCAACTAAATGAAAGGAGTGACTAGTTAAATAAATATCACATCCATTACTATTACTCAATTAAAACAACTTCCGTCAAGTTTTATCTTTCCTACGGTGATGTTTGGCCAACAAAGGCCTTTCAGATCAATCTCACTGATATTTAAGAGTCCTTCTGCATACACAACAGTGACTTCTGGCCACAGTAACAGGTTGGGCAAATCTAAACTAGCGTTATGTCTTTGTTTTACAAACCACTCTCCCTTCAATCACTACAGGAGCTTGCCCACGAGCTTGTTCAGGGAGTTGTACCAATAGAAACTCAGTATAAAACAAGCCTTCGTTTTTCTATTTTGAACTGATCCAAGCCCAAGCAATGGGAGCTGCAAGATGACGGGAATGAAAGATGAGACTGGAAGATGAAAGTCCATCCCTTTCAATAATCATGAGTTATTTAATCAGCTTAATTTCATTTTAACCCTACAAGGAAAGCAAAAGGTTCCTCGTGGGCTTAATTCATTAAATCAACACACCTTGAGGTCAGATCAGCACTCCAGTTAAGGTAAGAGAACTGAAACCTGCTGTATGGACCATACATCTGTTTCTGTGCTAAGTAAAGCGACAGTGTGATAATGCAGACATCCACATAAATATTATTAAACTCATAAAAATCTTCCAGATACTGAATTTCAGAATGACAAAAGAAACAATTTAGCTCATTTGATGTGTGTGAAATTTATATTATTATCATTAATATCTGGGTCAAAGGTGAACTAAGGTGAACTGAAGGTGAATTATGCCATGGGCAGCCAAATGCATCTAATAACTCCCCTTGCCTCCTATATCAGCTGGGATCTGACAAGCCCCACAAAGGAATAAAGTGGTGGGACCACAAAGCTGGGAGTAGAGAGGACCAGGAGATATCCTCTTTCCACAGTCATTGAAGAGAGAAGAAAAAAAAAAAAAAAAAAAAGTTGACTTTCTCCTAGCTTTGTCAACTGAAATATAGAAGTAAACATCAAAAACGGTCCAAGGATGGAGGCTGAAGCGCAAGACAATGAGCAAAGGGGAGAAGGGGGCAAAGGGAGTCAAAAGGAGTAAGCAAATCTCTTGTGAGCTGTCAGATGACAGAGATGAAATATACCACCTCATCTAATCCTACCAGAGAACTAAAAAAAAATTACTATCTGAAAGAACAAACATGACAGAAATGCAATGCATAAAAGCAACATAAATTGCTTGGCTTACCTGAAAGCCAAGTCTGCTGCAAGTACAAAAGGAGTGTGGACAGGCAGCTGGCATTCAACTACACTGAACGGTAGCAAGCAATCACGTGCAAGTATTTCATTGCAGGGCACTTTTGTTGCTCCAGTCCAAGTGACTGTGGCATTATTTAAACCAATAGAGATGTTTACATCTTTAAGTTTCTTTATACTTAGAGACAACAGCGTTTGCCTGTAGTAATTCATTCACAGAAAAAAGTTAAAAACCAGAGGGACAGAAATTCCCAGTCACCTGCAATACTACCAGATTTACTTCGGGTGGGGATAATGGAATGCATACATAAACATTTTTGAGACACACTGCTCAGTGAACCAATTTTTGTGCAAACAGAAACATTAGCGTTCTTCATTCTTAGGAAAATTAGGATTGGTCACTGTATGAAATACCACCTTCATATTATTAGTTTCTCCTATATTGCAAATCTTCAAGGGAAGCCATGGCAAGTAAGATGATACAGAAGGTTGATGTTCTTTCCAAGGACCTAAATTTACTTGTGCATAAATCAGAAATAACAATGGAGTGTGGGGGGTGGGTATGACATACAATGAAAACTAAGCAAAAATCAAAACACATTCCAAGATCCAACTGTCACTGTAAAAAAAACAGAGTGACTCTTCTCTCAAGTGCAGTTTCACCATAGATGGCACAGTTTTCTTTCCTAGTTTACAAATATTTTTCTCTGTTATGGAACATGTGAAATATTCCTTCTTACTCACCTTTGGATCGAGTGGAGATATCCATCCCCTCCACCACCTCCTGCTCTGCCTTTATTTCCTCTTCAGCCAAACTGCAGGAATCAAAAACGTGAATTAGAATAGTTTAGACTGTCTTATTCTCATATCTGACTTGAAATACAGAAATTCAACATGACTCTGTCAAACAGAACTACGTTAATATTTCTGACAAAATTTAAAGTGCTATTTGCCAGAGCTTACATGGACTAAAACATGGAGAGAAACAATCCTGATACACATGCATGCTGCACGTTACCTATTACGAAGGTAACACTTCCACACTAATGACAATCTAGTAACAAGTACTGAGGATTATGTCACTTTCTATACGACTGTACATAACAAACAAATAGGAATTGCATTCCTTGAAGCTCCTAACCTACAGCCTCTGTAAGCTGTGTGAACAGATTCCTGCTAATGTTTAAATGCTTGCCTGCAACAGTGAACAGATTTGCTGAAGTAACTAATTTAGCGACACAAAAGTTTGCAAAATTAGAAAGTAATGCACAGTTTTAAAAATCCTTTAAATTATTTACTAGTTTTTAAATGACTCTCTATAAAAGAAAATTTATAGAGAAAGAAAACTACTGGGAATAGAACTTCGTGAATTATTACCTATAATACAGAGTAAGCAGAACCAAGTTGTTACTATCGTTCAACCACACATCCTTATACAGACACTTCTAATTTAGTCCAGGTAGGATTAAATGATTAATTAGATGACAAAATACATATGACTTGGTGATATTCTACTTTCTTATATTGATATCATGCAGGAAAATATCTCAATAGATCTTGCTAATGAAAGCCATCTGAGAAAGCAATGTGGAAGAGACAAAAAAGGAGTGTTGGAGTTACACAGCAGTTTAGGAGATCTGACTACTACAGATGAATGAAAAAGAAAAATATGACATTGACTGAAGCAATCAACCAAGTTGAAAATCATTGACAAAAGCAGTTACGGTGCCTGAAGCAGGTATCACAGCTGTCCACTAACACAACCAAAGCACAACAGTCAAGCACAGCGTAAATCTTTCCCTCTGCAGTAACAACTCACTGTCTGGCATGTTAGTATGAGCTGCTGCAGATACCAGTTTACACAGATATGGCAGACTGTGAACTACTGCTGGTACAGAGCATTCTACCAGCTATCCTAGCTAAGGGACATCTATTTCTGCCATAGAGACCAGAAGGACAGCTGGAGACCTTTGTTTTAGCCACTATGGCTAAATCTGCCTAAGGCAGCTAAACAGAGCTTTGGAACTACGTAGAGAACTTGGGTTATATTTATAGCAGCAAAACTCTTCAGGCTAACAAACAGTTATATTAGCAGGAGTTCTGTTACTAGTCCGAGTTGAAGCAGTTTCCTAAAAAAAGCAAAACGTACCAGCAGGACTTTTTAGTCTGGCATTTGTCAAAACCACTTTGAATCAACTCTACCAGAGAGTTGGGCTGGAATTCCTTCCACACTCGTAAACAGTATAATTGTGTCAGCAAAAATTTGAAACACAAACGAACAGAGCTCAGTGTATGGAAGACCCGAACCTGAGAAGATCCATCAATTCCAGAAAACATTATTGTATATTTGTAGTTCATATATAGCAATAATTCACAAGTTCTATTAACTGGCTGTTCATTCCAGCAGCACAGAAAGGGAGCCACGTGACCAGAATTATGGTAAATGTACAGCACAGTTGACCACAGCACAATGCTTCTCAGATTTATTTTGCATGGACAGATTAAATGCATAGCATAGTTGACCATAATACAATGCTCACCAATTTACTATGCATGGGCAAATCAATTATACTGTGCATTTGTTACACCCTTTCCCAGAGGTCCTCCAGCAAAGAGGAGCTGGCAGTGTGTTGCAGACACCAAAACATTTCATGCACCACTTGCCTCTGCCCATTCTCTTTCCTAAGCAATGGGAAGGGATGGGCTCACAGGATGAGTTCATTGTTCTCTTCCCATGCTGCACTCTATTTTCTTCCCTTCCCCCTTTATAAAATCTTATTTTCATATCACCAAACTGTAATAAAAGAACACTTATTTAAAAAAATCACCTTGTAAATACGCATTAACACACACTAACTCCGTGAAAAGTGAAGTAGTTAGGGCAGCATGCATTACCTGTTCTTAAAATACAGATCCTGTTTCAGCAAATCAGACATACAATCTTGTAACAACTCAGCTTTAGGTCTAAAAGACCATCTTACACTAGTGGCTACTAAAAGGGAAGGTCTCAGCAACACCTGACTTGTGGTTACAGAAACCACATTAATTTTAATTGAATCAGTTCTATAGTCTAGCTCCCTGCACAGGTGGGTGCGCTGGAGAGAGGAAATGAGAGTGAATGGCATGTGGGGAAGGAGTGAAAAGTGACATACCCTTTTTGCAGTAACTCACACATTACGTTAAAACAGCCCAGACATTCCAGACTCATCTGAACATATTAAGTGTGTTTTGTTCATACCACACAACTCCAGGGAACACAATACAACAAGAGTAACAAAATAGTTGCTACAAGTGAGAATGACAAAGCCCAGAGTTGCGCATGAATACAATCTGAGAAATGAGCGTGGCAGATAGCACAGGAGCAGGAACTGTCCCTACATCCCTGTCCAGAGCAGCTTGGCAAGTTGCAGCTGATTGAAGACTCTTTACTCCTGCAGGCCCCAAACCAGTACTGCAGTCACGTGATTAACTTCACATCATGACAGGGTGTTATAGATCAAGACTCCTAAGATTTCTTCAGCTTGAAATTTGTCTCTTCCCATGAGAATATTTCAGGAAATTCAGCCAGATCACCTTTTAAAGAATTCTTTCAGTAGATCTAAAGACACAGGAAAAATAATCTGCATAAGCAGTCCCAAGATGAACCAAGAGCCTTGACTTGATACATCTCTAGTTCATCCTATAAAAGATGGGTCTGAAGCTTCTCCAAAGGTTTGAAATGTAAAAGTACCATCAGAAATGCACTCAGCACTTGACACAACAGTTATACCTTTGTTTCAGCAGTGGAGGTCAATATATCCTACCCACACAGCTGCACCCACTGTCCTTCAAACAGAACTAAAATAAAATTCAACAAATACGTTCATTGCTCCAAAAGTAATGCCTCCAATTTATTCCCATGGGAGCTACAACAGCTACAAAGAGCACAATAACACTATTTGATAGAGCAAACTCTCAGCTACAAAACACTATTTCTCAACAGCCATCACCCTTAGCTAGTCATCTTCACCAGCCACCAACAAGAGCCTGCACGCTGCGCTCATAATAATCTGCATAGTCATCCAGAATATGGCTTGTCTTCCATTTTGTTGTTACCACTGCTGAAATGCACCACCCCCCACCTCACTGTGCTCACATCCACTGCTTGGTGTCCATGAAGGATCAGCAGACATTGATGAATATCAATGGGTGCCACTTTTTCTGCACAGAGGAATCCAGGTGCACACCCGTTTCATACGCACTTCCATGCCAGATGTCATTTTGCCAGACTGTTTCTCTGCTGCCATCTATCACACAGCAACAAAATGCAATGGAATATTGGTGGGAAGGTTCAGCCTCTACTGCCATGCCACCAATGTCAAGCCTCTAACATCATAAAAAAGGAGGCATTACTTTCAGAGCAGGTCTCATGTATACTACAGTATGACAACTGACCCTTAGAGAAACAGACTGTATGTCCTTTTTCTCTACTACATTTAGCCACTCTCTTGTTTAAGAGCATCAGAAAATTACTGAGGTTATTTTGAAAAAAAAAAAAAACAAAAACTGAAGCATCAGAGAAGAGGATTTAAATAAATGTGTTACACATAGCTATAAAAGATACCTAAACTCAGCTCCTCAGCAGCACATCCCATTGTTTGACTTGATGCCATTTTTATAACTTGCCCAACATGACACTGAATGGGGGTAGTGATGGCTGAAACAGTAATCTTTCAAATATAAGTTTGTAAACACATGCAAAAATTCACAGCAAGTTTACAGTAACTTTTCTAAAGCTGACAGATTTTTTCACCTTTGCACCTGCCATTAACATCAGAATTATGCTGAAAATGCTGTAAGCAGTACTTTCAGACACAGAAACTCATCAGCCAATCAAATGCAGTAACTCATGAAACAGGTATTTTATTACCCATAGTGAAAATAGAACGAAAATTAAAAGCAACATCAAAATAAGTACAAACAAGCATCTATTTCTACATAAACAATAACTGTGTGATCAAGAGACCACCCTACACAGCTATATTTTGAAAAGATTTCATTTTTGCAGGGCTTAGAGCTGTTCTTTCAGCCAGCATGCATTGCTATCATGTACGTATATTAGGGATGCAACATCCTCAGGTCGCAGATCAGAAATGATACTTGTATGTTTGCAGTAAAGTAACTAGGTGAGTACAATAAATACCTTGTATTCTTCTGGAAGCTACTCTTGCTTCTTATTTAGGTGAGTGAACACCGAAGGAACACAGAGGAGCGTACTTTAAGAACACAATTGAAATTTAAGCTTTGCCAGTTTCACTGTCAATTGACCAGAACAGCAATTAATCATTTAAAGCTTCCCCACTTGTATTGACAAAACTTACTCTAAAAAAACCTCCTAAAATGTTAAGCTAATTTGTTTCATGCAAATTACATTAACATGTCTGAGAGGGGGGAAGGGGTGGAGGTTTTTCCTTCGGGGATAGCTGAGGACAGAAAGAAAAAAATAAAGGTTGCAAATACACAGGATTTAGTGTTAGTTCAGTAAAAACACAAGAAGAACTTAGCTGCACCATCTTCAAATATTCTACACTAGCCTGAAGAGGTTTTTGTTTTTGTTTTTGTTTTTCAAATCTAAATTAAATCCAGTTTTTCAAATTTCAGACAAACAAATAAAATACTGACTTTTCTGTTTAGGAAAATGATTCCTCCAGCAGTAGTTCTTATTTGGAAAAAAGAAGCACATACACAAAAATTTTTCAAGCTGTTCTAATCTATATAAACTACCAAGAGCAATTAAAAGTTGCAGATGAACTACTGCACCTTGACATTTAACCAA